GGTTCACCGAAATTCTAGTGTTTTTCTTTGGAAAGCTGAAATGGATTCCTGAATCTTTGATGTGGTATATGGAAAGGCAAGATAACAAATTACACTGCCAGGCAAGTGAAACCCATCCCAGATATACTAGCAGTGGTGTTTATTTTAGGACTTCATGTCATTTTGCATACCATGTGTAATACGTCAGAAAAATCTGTGCTGGGTGTTTTTTCTGTCTGATTGGAAACTGTTGATTTCTCTTTCAGGTATAGAAGCCAAGAAAAATGTGATGGTAACTCAAGCTGACCAAATAGGTCCTCTTCCCAGCACTTTGATAAAAAGTGTGGACTGGTTGCTTGTATTTTCCTTATTCTTTTTAATTAGTTTTATTATGTATGCTACCATTCGAACTGAGAGTATTCGGTGGCTAATTCCAGGACAAGAGCAGGAACATGTGGAGTAATGATGGACTCAAAGGAGAAGTTGGAAAGAGGAATTTTAACCCTTCATTTTGGAAATTAGTGCTACAGTTTCATTTTCTCTAGTGAAGTATTGACTTGGCAACTTCACTTAGGTTAAAGAAATCATGCATTTGTTGAACTACTGAATGTGTAAAAAATTATAAACTGGTGTTTTAACTAGTATTGATTACAATAAGCAAGTGTAAAAAAACCTTCAGTAGAATGCCCTGTTCTGATTTTTACTACTTGCACGTAGAGTGATCCAGTTTGAAATGTGAAGACATTCTGGTGGAACAGTGAGTAGAATGACAATATGCTAACCAAGAAGGCAGCAAAAATAGGGCTTTTAGGTTATAGTTTTAGAGAACTCCTGATTCCTTATGTATGTTTAAGAAGGTTGATTTTTTTTTTGTTTGTTTGCAAGTTCTCTTCCAGAGTCCATAGCAGAAAGTATTACGTTATGGAAAAGTAACTAGGCTTGATTAGTATTAGCCTACAAGTAGCAACTGATGGAAAATAAAAGAGTCAAATACCTGTTATGTGTGTTTTCTGCTTTCTTTTTCTTTTCTTTTCTTTTTTTTTTTTTGAGATAGAGTCTCAGTCTGTTGTCCCAGGCTAGAGTGCCATGGTGTCAGCCTAGTTTACAGCACTCTCAAATTCATTGGGTTTAGGTGATCCTGCCTCAGCCTCTCAAGTATACTGCTGGAACTGCAGGTGCCCACCACAATGCCTGGCTAATTTTTCTATTTTCCAGTTGAGACAGGGTCTTGCTTTTGCTCAGCAGGTCTCAAAATTCTTGAGCTCAAGTGATGCTCCCACCTTGGCCTCCCAGAGTGCTATGATTACAGGTGTGAGATACTGCACCTGGCCAGGAGTTTTCAAATTTGTGTGGTGTTGTGAACAGCTATAACTGGGGTGGTCCCTAGAAGGAGGGGATGATGACTCAGAACAGTACCATTATTCCATTTTACAAGGGAGCAAACTTAGGCATAGAGAGGTTAAGTAACTTTTTGAAGCTGGGATTTGAACCTTTAAATAAGCCTACATTTATAAATGTAAGGAAAAAAGCCTGTAATGATTCTATCTCTTATAATAACATTTAAGCTGTTACTTTGTGAATGCCAGGTACTACTTTAAATACTTTACATATACTATTCTATACAACGATAGCCCTGTGAGATTAAATTGTTAAATATGATCATGTTAAAGAGCAAACTGAGATCCCAAATAACTTGCTTTTGTTCATGCAGCTTCTAGTGTGGGACCAAGCTTGAAACCTAAGTATTGTTAGAGCAGTGATTTTTTTTTTTTTTTTTTTTT